GGGAAGGGAAGGGAAGGGAAGGGAAGGGAAGGGAAGGGAAGGGAAAGGAAGGGGAGGAGAGAGAACCATCTCTAATCTTGTTTTCAAAACATTTTGAATTCAGACTTAAAAGAATCTGTGGATATTTCTGATTTCCACTTAAGTGTTAGTTAAAATCTTAGGTTTGGAAAAGAAACATAGATTAAGTCTAAAGATGGAGGAATTACTGAATTACTCATTCAAAACCTACCAGTGTAGGGTAAAAACATGACTTCTACCTTAACCATGCAGAACAGCTAACTGGACTCAAGCATCAGAAGCAGTGAGCTGTGGCTCAAGTCCTCCTGGCTCTTGGCTGATCGGATGTAGTCCTCTGTTCTCAGAATACAGGCTAACACACGCAGGATACCATGAATCCGCCTGGGAAGAGGCCAGTGCCTGGAGACACTGAGGTAACCAGCGAGACTCCAACCTGAAACCATGGGATATTCAGGTATCTGCTAACTTCTGCCTGTTCTAGGGCCCTCACCTGGAGGTTCTGGGGCTCCTAAGGTCAGGCCCAGCCCATTCCTGGAGTCTTTGTGACCAAAGAAGAGGCAGAAGCGCTGGATGTTGATCTTCTTGACAGTCTGAAGTGTGATTTGTGAGATGGACCTCTGCATGGTTATTGGAGTTATGACCCTTCCCTCTTCGTTCCACTTTGATCACCCACAGTATGGACCATCACCACCCCAGCTGATGCGCTGTGTTCCACTGGACATGCAGACCTGCTGCAAACCTAGTCTTTTCCTAAATCTTTCCTACAGAAGCTCCCCTGCCCTCTAACTCCAATAGAACTAGAAATTGCCCTTCGCTATTGTAAATTTTCACCTGCTCCACCCCACATTACAATCAGGGTACAATCATTTTGGATTTGTTGCTATTGCTGCTGTCGTTGTTGTTGAAAGACAAGGTCTATTACGTTGCTCAGGCTGGCCCTGAACTCCTGGGCTCAAGTGATTCTACTGCCCCTCCAGTAGCTAGCATTACTGAACCTGGTTGAAGGATACCATAACTTTTTATAAAGCAGGAAGGGCTACTCAGTTTGAAATACATGAAATTCCAGTGGAAGGGCAAGTTTGCTGTGACCCAAGCAGAGGGCAGGGAAACTGGAGCAAACATCAAACGACCCTCTGAGACAAAGGAAAGCAGTGCAATGCAGCAGGGACTGCCACACTGGAAGCCAGAGGCCTCCAGCTGTTTGCTTTTACACTAGCGATATTTTCTATGGTGGTGATTGTACTGGTGGCAGAGAACATGTGCCATGTTCGCAAATTGTTTTCTTAAAATATACTTCAATGTATGATTCAAGAGGCAGATATCCTTCGGCGGAGGTGTAGCTTGGAGACAGAGTGCTTGTCTAACATCTGAAAGGCGCGCAATCTCCAGCTCCACAAACATAAACAAACACACAAAGTGGCAGGTTTTCACAGGAAAACACAACTTTACCTGACAGCCCGTCGTTTCCCTCTTGGTCCCAGCCCGCCAAGTATCCGACAGGCAAGTTAGAAATGTGCTGGGTATTGCGTGTGGGTGCAAGCAGGTCTCGGAGGGGACAAGCCCCGGTTTCACCCCATTTAAGTCAATGGAACTTTTCTCTGAAAGTGACTGTGACAAGTGTCAGGCCCCATGTTGTTTTATCACATTTTGGCAGAACCTAAAGCAAATCCCTGTCCCTTTAATCCCTTTAGAGTCTTGAAAGTTTTGCAGTCAGAAAGTCAGGCACTGCGAATGACTGGGAATGAGATAAAAATGTGATTAAGATTTTCTACCCGGTTACAATGGATGTTGTTCTAGGAGAGATTTACTTAGAGAAAAGCAGAAGTGTCTGTGGCATACCCGGGAGTTTGAGCTTCCGGCAGCAGGAGTTGCAACGGTGTTTTGCAATGAAGTTTCTAATTGCGTCTTCCCCTAAATTGGCTGGCCCAAACACCATTCCTCTTGATCTAGAGGAAATAGCAGAATATCAATTAGATCACAGCTGAAAAAAAGGAGCTCAACCAGGATTCTCTGAGATACTGAACAGTATCCCATAGTAACCCAGTAACTTGAAGGAGCCAACAAAGAACAGAGCACTTTGGGGAAGCAACAATGTTAGGTTTGCAAATTTAAAATTCAAATGCACTTAAATCTTTGTACCCAACTCCAAGACCTACTGTGAAACTCAGTTCAACACTAATCTGATAGAAGAGTGAATTTTCTATGTACCACATTTTAAAAAAATGCAGTGAAACCCTTTTTAATGCATATGGGGTGAGAGAATGACATTCATTACCAAATGTTCTTCTAGAATACTGGAAAGGTAAGGTATAAAGTAAAGTAAACTTGCTACTGGGGCACATCTTCTACAAAGTGCATATACAGGGTGTTGCAAGGGCTACACTTTTCTTAAAGTACCCGTGCTCGAAAACAAATACCTGACCGAACCCAAGAGACAGCATTTATGGCTTTTTGAGAGCCACTTTGTACCCTGCAAACTCTCTAACAGGGCTATTCGTGGAACAAAACTATTGGACAATGTGTTGTGGACCTAAACCACATTTGCTCAATGTAGTGACAAAATTACAGATAGAATCAGTGTCTACAAGGCACATTTCAAATATCCTATCATTATAATAGATCCCTGGCAGGTTCTAGCTCTGCTGTTCATTCTTTACGGTATCCTATACAGTACAAGCATTCTTCTTCACATCGCGATGCTCTGCACATCACAGAACACGGCACACCAGAAACACTGCTGAAGAAACTTTACGGAATCTAATATTTTATTTTAATGACATGCAGAGTGGAAACAGCACATTTTAAAATCTGAACTCAATTACCACTCTTAAATACCATGTCTTAAGAAAAAAGCAAAGCAAACTATCACAAAAGGAAATAATAAACTTCACTTCTAAGGAATGCGGTTTTTCAAAAGGGACATGGTGTAAAAATGGACTTTTTTCCATGCAAGTATTGAAACATTTATCTCAATTTCCACTTCCTTTTGGCAGAAGAACAGTAGCTCCTCTGAAGAGGTGCCAAGCTCAGAACGAGGGCTGATGTCAGTTTGATCTCGGATTGCCTCTTTGCAGTGTGGCAAGGAGGTGGAGGAAATCTCTTGGGAAGGCGGAGTGGAAAGACACTCGGGATTAGCTTTCCTGGTCACTCAATCGCTCCTACAAAGGACAGCTCTGGTGGCATTTACCCGGCTGCGTGAGCTGCCTCTTGTTAACGCTGCCTCTCTCAGTCCATCTGGTAAGACACCACTTCAATAAGGTGAAACTGGAGGTGGCAAAAAAGTAGACTCACTCGGTATTTAGAACAGAACTCTCCAATCCCAATAAAGTGAAAAGTGAAGGTGTCAGTGTAGTCGTTCACATGGAAGAATTCCTTCTCAGAGTTTCCCCAGCATGACCTCACCAGACTATTTCACTTGTTTGCATTCCATACTGCCCTTTCTTTCCTCCCAGGAAAGCATGAAAATCCCCGGCTTGGAAATACAACATTGATTCTCAGATAAAAGCTGTAAGCTAACTCATTCCTCTCTACGGGCTTTGTGTAAGCTGAAACAAAAGGGTGAAAGTCACTCCAAAATATATTTATCAAGGGTTGGACAACTCCCTGTGCAATAGAGAGAAGGGGGTGAAGGACAGTCATTTGCACCCACACCCTGTAGCTTGCCTACAGATATGCTGTCTCAGACAACTGAGTTTTTAAAAATAAATAAATAAAATACACCTAGCTGTTTTCCAGATCTTTCACAACACAGGAAAAGCAGGTGGTAGCTTGGTTCCACATGCAAGGAAATGCTAATTGGTGCCATCTATACACAGACTCACTAAAAAGCATCTCGTCATCATTTCCTACTTGTCAGGTGCTAAAAACCATCAAGACAGTAAGCCACAAAGAGATAATCCCAAGTCACCAACAAACAAGGCAGAAGATTAGGCAAAGTTAAGAGACAACTGGCCAAGTTAAGAGACAACAGGCAGCAGAAACAAAATTAGAATTTATGCCACAAAAAACACCTTCTCTTTGGAAAGAGAATTGTTTCCTTGCATTGGCCCCTCATCCATCTTGGCAAGTTATGATCTTCAGGAAGGCTCAGTTTTCTCATTTGCGAACTATGATGGAAAATGCTGAGGCTAAAATAAATGACATTCATGAGAGCACTTGCTTCTACTGGTACTTCTCAACCTCTAATTTACACCAGATTGCCAGGGGATAATGTGAAAATTCAGATTCTGGCTTGGTAGGTCCAGGGAGCATATGGAGAATCTGCATGTGTAACAGTCTCTACCCATGCTGGCACTGTTGGACCACGGTCTACACTCAAGGTAGTAAGAGGGGCTGGGGATTTAGCTCAGCGGCAAAGCGCCTGCCTGGCAAGCACAAGGTCATGAGTTCGATTCCCGGTACCGGAAAAAAAACTACAAAAAAAAAAAACTCAAGGTAGTAAGAGCCTCAAACACAGAAGGCATTCGAACACATGAGCCTCATTCAACTCATTAAATTGAGCTGAACTAGTCATGAGACAATTCTTGTTATCGTCACTATGAAAACCAATTGCACCCAAAATTGAGTGACTGCACCCAGTCAGGCAGGCCACAATGATGTCATCCTGTTTCCAGAATCCTATCCCCAGTTCATAGAAGCTAAGGCTACTATGAAACAGAAAGGCTGGAGTTCTCAACTCTAACTGCCCATAGAATTACATAGGGAACTTTTACAAAGAAATAGAATCAGGGCCCTATCTGTAGAAATTCTAACTGAAGACCAATCTCGAGCATTTTTTTAATTCCCCAGGTGACTCTAACAGACATTGAGACCTGCTGCCTATAGAAAGCAATTAAATATGTAACTGTCAAGTGGAATTACATAATCTTAGAATCCAAGAAGATTGACTATTCAGGTCATATTAAGTGATATATGCCAAGGTCAAAATTTAATGAATGATAAAGAGTATACATAAACTTGGTTCACTACATAGGCAAAATTTTTTTGCTGAAAAATTATAAAGTACTCAGAACAAGCCTCCTGCTATAAACCCTTGAGCACACGGGGCTACTGAAGAAATAATATTCTTAACTGAAAATACTTTAGCTCAGCTGATGCAAAAAATAATGTATGTTTATGTGTATCCTAAGGATTATAGCATGGACTTCACAGTCAAACTATCATCATAGGAATTAGATAATACATATAAGTAATAGGGATCACCTTTCCCTTTTCTAGCTCACCCATGCCAGTCAAGTATATAAAACACTTCTAGTAGGCCGGGCGTGGTGGCGCACGCCTGTAATCCCAGCACTCGGGAGGCTGAGGCAGGAGGATCGTTGTGAGTTCAAGACCAGCCTGGGCTACAAAGTGAGCTCAAGGCCGGCCTGAACTGCATAGCAAGACTCTGCCTCAAAAAGAAAAAAAAAGAAAAAAAAAGAAAACACTTCTAGTAGATGCACCTCTGTTCTGCATCAAAGCTGAAGGATGGGATCATATTTAGGTTTAGTAAAATGGTTCAGGAAAAGAGCATATTAGCGCAGTGAGCATTGATAAAATGAGTTCTAGAGAAGAAAAAGTAAAATTTTCAGATTCTGTTGTGTTGCAATTGCCCACTTATGCAGTTTTGTGTATAAATTTTACCATCCAAGAGCCAAGTACATATACAATGTATGATGACTTGGAAGTAGCAATGCTATATGTGAGCATTTCTCAAGGTAGTCTCAAGACCGACAGCATCAGAATTTGCTAGGAACTTGTTAGGAATGCAGATGATTTGCCCCCCTCCAAACTACTGCATCAGAAACTCTGGGGGAGGGACCCCAGCAGTCTGTGTTTAAGAAGCACTTCCTGTGATCCTGGTGCAGACTCACATTTGAGAACCACAGCTGTCTGCCATACTGACCAGTCCTCAACTGGCATTATCCCTGCTTTGGATTCTACCTTTGACAGAAAACACAACTTTGGGTCCTCTAGTGGCAAGTCTTGCACAAAGCCTGCTGGGGGGACAAAGTGCCCTTGAGAATTCAAAGGACAGGCAGATGACTCGTTCCTCTATGTAACTGTGGCTCCAGATTAAGTCACACAATCTGATGCTTCATTTGTAAGCTCACTGTTTTGACCTCTTAGAGTTTGCTATGTGTCAGTACACTGTACATCCTCAGTTTTCATTTTGTAAGCATGTGATGAAAGATGCTATGCAGGGTATGATGCAATGATTCCATTGTGAAGACAACAGAGAAAGCTGTTTTTCCTACAACATTAATTGTTTTCATGTTCTTATCAAAGCTTGTAGAAGCTAAATATATACATATCTCTTTTGTTGTCTGGGGCCCCCTAGAAAACTGAGTTGAATTTGCAACCAAATTCTGGCTATTACATTTATTATTTCCATCCACATATTCCAACCCAACTCCAGATTTAATCTTATTTTGTTTCCATATTTTCTCTCTACCTTCATTTCATAATTTATGCTCTTTTAAAAATATTATTTTAGGTCAATATACAAAAATTGCCTGAAATCCTTTCCAGGATTTCAAGAACAGCCTGTTTATAAATTATTTTTAAAATATGCCATTTAAGCATTATACATGTACACATGTATTGAAGTATTACATGGCACCCTATTAACATGTACAAGTCTATGCTTTTATGTTCTGAAAAATAAATTCTAAAAACATAGAAGTTAAGCCGAATTTTTGAAATAATAGCACATAAGTGGACTTACTGTTTGTCTTCAGGTTTTATAACAGATGGATCTGTCAGATTTTCTCCAACACCTCAAAAAAGAAACAAAATTCATTTAGCAACAGGGGTTTCATTTTCATAGAAATTCAAGAAAATAGTAACCAAATTTTAGTTTTTTTCAAGTTTACATTTGCTTTGTAGTAAATCAAACATTGTATGAATTGAATGTACTATAAAAAATGTCCCGGAATGCTCAGAATTTTTAAATAATGCATTTCTGCAACCCCCTCTGCTACAATAAACTTGTAGGCCACAAACAAATGTTTTAGGGGTGTATTCATAGTCACTGATAGTGTCATATGTCATTTATTTGCTGCTGCTGCTATATACCAAACTACACTCTAATTTTATTTTTTCTAATGTTAACCAATTATAAAAGAAAAATATCCTCATTTTACAGTTTGAGTTTGTTTGTTTGTTTGTTTGTTTGTTTTGAGATAGGGCCTCACTATGTAGTCAAGACTGGCCTTGAACTCACTATGTAGCCCAGGCTGGCTTCAAACTCATGGTGATCCTCCTGCCTCAGCCACTTGAGTGCTGGGATCACAGGCATGCACCGCAATGCCCAGGTTCATTTTCCATTTTATCCTCATTTTACATCAATGAGAACAATGATGTTCAAAAGGATAAAGTAACTTGCCAGGGGTTGCTCAGTCCACAGTGGTCAAAGCAGGAACAAGCTAGGGCAATGCTTGTGTTCCTCCCATGGTCCACAGGCCCTCCGATGGGCTCATCAGTGCTTGGCAAGCACTTTGCACTTCTGCAGGTACAGTCTCTGCTTCATCAAAGAGGCACCCCACAAACTACATGCACGGCATTTATGAACTGACAAGTAAAATGAACTTTGATTCTTGACCTAGGTGCTGGTCGGGGAAATTTGTTGGGATGTGTTCTTACGCTGCCTGCATTTTTCTGAATGCATTCTCAATACAATTTACTTTGTAACAGATGACACCAAAGCCTAAAAGGAACACATTAATGCAAGTGAAAGCTTAAGCTTATCAAAATAGGGGCCAACACCTAAAGTGAATCTCTGTTACAAAAGGCAAGTGGTGAGGAGCCACTTCTTCAAAGATGGTACATTTCAGGCAGTCGAGTGAATGCACAGGAGGCAAAACCCAACAGTGTCTCAGATCAGTCTAACCAGCACTTGTTTCCTTGATTAAGGGACTCCCTTTGCAGGAAGATTATTCCAAAATTATATAAACGTTTAACACAATTATGTATCTCTACTTGTAAGAAAATGTTCCTATTGTACAACAATTATTTCTAAAGGTTTTTGCTGTGCTCTGAAGAACATAAACTCTTTATAGACTTTTCCCCTAAGAAACTAATTTCCCTAGGAAAGTAACTTAAAGCGCCTGAAAGTTTGGAGTAAGAGTATTCAATATTTTTTGTCATGACATACTTTGCTGCTCTTCTCATAATATTGCTTTAATGTATGCAATTAAATATATAAGATTATGAAGAAAATCAGTGATACTGAAATACAGTTACATAAAGATCTTTTAAATTGCTCTAGTATAATACACATGCTTCCTCATTAATACATAAATAACAGGATCTAGCCCAGGTCTATTAATTACTATAACATCCAACAAGTGACAAACATAAACAGTATTTTGAGGTATCTGCCAACATTCCAATGTGCTATGTTAAAACCTGTGATATCCATTACAAACAGTCACAGGTACAATTGCTATCCCTGAGGATTGTAGTCTATAGCATAATTGAAGAAAATGATGAGTCTAAGTTACAGGTTAGTTAAAACAAAGCATAATATATTTTATCATCAAAATCCACAGACTCTCTGAGTTCTACTCCCAAATGCTTTACTAATTCTTGGCTTAGAAATTCTTCACACTGATTTTGAATAGTGAAAGAAAAAACAAAGCTAAACATAGCTTAAGTGAAGTTCATAAAATATGCTCTGCCACCGACTGAACAACCAACAAGAGAAAAAATAAATAAACTGGACTTCATAAAAGCTTTTTGCATCAAAAGCATTATCAAGAGATCAAAAAGGCAGACTCACAGAATGGGAGAAAATGTTAGTAAAACATGTATCTGGTAAGGGATTAATATCTTGAAATTCTACAGAGTTCCTAAAACTTAACAGCAAAAACCCAAACAATCCAACTTCCTTAGACATTTCTCCAAAGAAGCCATACAAATTACCAATAAACTTTTGGAAAGATGCTCAGCGTCACTAATCACTAGGGTAATGCAAATCAAAACTACAGTGAAATACCATCTTTGGATAACTGTATTTTTAAAAAAGCTTTGTTCACCCTGTCACAGGAACAGGCTGGGTTCTTTATATTTTTCTCACCATAAATATAAGAAGGATCAGCTTAGACGGACCCTGCCTTTCTAACCATCAAGTAAATAAGCAGGACAACAGACAGAAGGAAATCCCAAATACTCTCTTTAGAGAGAATGATAACTATATGTCCTTTACTTGTTGAATCACAGCCCTAACTGTAAGTCTTCAGTTTACAGCAATAGTGAAATCTCGAGGGTAAAGGATGAGTAAGGCATACAGTATATTTAAGCTACGAATAGACACAGTAGCTAAAGAAGTAATATCAATTGGGAAAAGGGAAGTTTTGCAGGGGAAAGAAAGTCTATGAAAAATCACTTAAGCTCCTGTTTACTTTAAATCTTGTTGCTCATTAGAGACATAGAAGTCAAAGGATACAGACTCCACCCGTGGGTCCCTCATTTTCATTTAGACAGTTCCCTGAACCTCTCTGAAACCCAGTGTTGTCATCCGAAGTGTGACCTTATGAGCCTTATCTTATAGCGCCGGTCGCAAAGCACTTGCCTGTGTGAGGCCCTGGATTTGATTCTCAGTTCTGCACAAAAAGGAGGAAGAGATAAAGAAGACAGAGGAGAAGGAACAGGGAGAGGAGGAGGAGGGTACAATACACACAAAGCACATTAACAGTTCAAAGCTTACTTATTAAACTCTCTTTTTGGCTCTCTCAAATGGAAGAAGGACCTTTCCAAAGTGTGGAGGGAAAAGACAGACAAAGAGAGAGTCCCAAAGGACATACTGTGACATCCACACTCACAAACACATACTAGTAAAAAATAAAACTGGGGGCAAAATCATGCCACAGCACCACCACCACTTCCAGCGATGTGTGAATCCCCAGGCTGGAAGGCTGACCACAAAACCCCTCCTATCCACATATTCTCCCGGAAAACACAGGGGACGGAAGGGGAACGAGACACTTTGACATCTTAGTCTCACAGATGTCTCTCCACCAGCTCCAACAGAGTAAGAGCCCACATACTCAGGCAATATTTAAAAATGCAGAAATTTAGACTCTGGTCTCACTCCACTTTGGATCCATCAATGAACTTCTACATCTGCGCAGAAGTTACCTTCTTTGTAGCAGCAGAATTCACAGTGATGAAGTGGATCCCAATGCTGACTTATCCTGGAAACTGCTTTGTGAATAAAAATTTAATACTGTATCTCCAAAAGTCCTTTGAAAAATATGAGCTTAAAAGAAACATTACATGCCACTGTGATTTTAAATACAATTGTTTTTAATTTCCATTTCTGGGAATTAAATGTTGGATTCCAAACATAATGATGATGATTCAGGCCATCACATGTAAGATTTTTTAAGTGGAAAAAGACCGGAAAACTTCAATATAATTATAAGTGATGGGAAATTGGTCACGCCGTTCCTTAGAGTTCAGCTTCCTGGCCTGGCGTGGCAGTTTCTGGGTTAATGACTGGCATCCTCTTGGAAGAAAACAAAGAAATAAGAGAAAAAGGAACTGAAAGGAGACTTTCTGCACATTCCTCACTCCCTCTTTGCCCGAAAGCAGGAGGGAGCAGAGGCCCAAGCTGGGGTGTCCCTGCAGGACCTCACAATGAGAGTGGACTCCCCACACTTGAAGACTGACCTCCATGTTAGACAGCCACAAAGAGATTCACACTAACACAACAATAACTAATGTTTACTAGGGCTAAAACAAAAATCTTGTCTCACTTCAGCTTCTTAACCTACTGTGCTGAGTGCATGATATCTTTTTTCCCCAAGTACAAATGAGGGATGTGGGACTCAAGGTGGTGGCTTCTCAGGTCATGCAGCTAACTCCTGGAGGAGCCCAGCCCCGAAACTCTGAAGCTCTTCTTACCAATGGCTGCTACCTCTCAACCTCCATGCCCACCACATGGGCGAAGCACATCACCTCCCCAACTACAAATACCAATACATTAAACACAGCACAAAACTGAACGTAAGCCAATTAAGAGAAGTTATAAATCAATCCTATGTTGCCATTTTTCCCTTCCAACCTGATTTGGATTAAATATGATAATTCACACAATCCTTTAGTCAAATGCCTGGCTCAAAATAAGTACAGTGCCACGTCGGTTCATGATCTTAAGTCTTTCCACATGGAATGAATCCTCTGACCAGAATCATGGAAAAAATTAAGTTTGTGAACTGAGGTACCACTGTACCTAGTAAATATTAACCACTAGAGGTAGTGGTAGTATAACTATTCATAATTACTCTTATGGGATTCGTATTTTACAATAAATTCAAGTCCAAATGATTAGTCAAACCTCTCTGATAAGTACCTCAAATTTCATCATGTTCATTCTATGAAGTCGACCCATCTCTTCTTTGAAGGTCAATGTTTTGACATAGTTTATTTGGAGTGGCCTATTTCTGCAATCCACATAATTGCTCAGAAAAAGAATAAAGTTAATTCCTCCCCCCCACCAAGACTCTCAGTGCAGCATTTGTTCTGTTTAATGTCACTTTGGATTACTAAGAGACATAAAAACCCCCAAACATAAACATCATTAAACAAAAACCTATTCAAGTGGAATACAAAATACACTGAAAAGTCACCATTAATTCCTTAATGTTTTTCTTTGGTTGTTTTGTTGTTTTGTTGTTGTTGTTGTTGTTGTTGTTGTTGTTTCTAGGGGTTTTTTGGTTTGGTTTGGTTTGGTTTGGTTTTGGTTTGTTTGTTTTTTTGGCTTTTCAAACAGCTCCACCCAAAACTCAAAGCATAAACAGTCCAGTACAGATGAAAGCAATCAAGGTTTCCCCAGCTGCAGCTACAAAAACAGACGCCTTCAGCATCCACACTCAGGGTTGATATGGATCCAGTCCTTGCTGACTTAAAAGCTGAATCATAGCGGTTGATTTAATTTTGTTTATATTGCTTCCTAAAATATTGTGTTTGAGGGTTAGAAATATAATCCAACCCCGCAAACAACAGAAATCTCACAGGACAGAGCATGTACATGTAGTTTAAAAAGTACATATCCTTGAGCATATGACAAATTTCAAAGTGATTCTCAAGACGGCCTGGACATTGCCCCTGGTACCCCAAGACTGTCTGTTATCTCAACATTCCCCAGCCTCCAAGCCAACTTTCAGCACAGAATCCCAGAAACAGAGAGCTGAGCAAGTCGGAAAGCACAAGAAAAAGAGCCAACTTGTTTAAGTGAACCATAAGGTGGTTGGGTCCTCCAGGTATGAAACTCTTACAGAAATAAAAAACAGTACAGTGAAAAGAAAGAACACAGCTGCTCAAACCAGTTTACGTTTGTATCCTGGCTCTGTTCTAAGTAGCTGTGCACCCACGGGCAGCTTAGTTAAACTTTCTGGGCCTAAATTCTCTATATCTACCTCCAGGTGCTGTTTCTGGGATTAAATGAGATAACTTCTATGAAAGTTCCTGGACTAAATCCCTTATTTAAAGCCAAAGCCAGTCAGGGAGCCCAAGGACTAAACTTTCACCTTAATACATATTTCGTTCTGTCCCCGCAAGGAAATCCTGCTGGAGACACTCTGTGCTGCAGGATTATAAGTCACATGTTAGGTGTACTGGTGGTGTGGAGATGTACTGATCAAAGGCTTCCATTAAATAAGAATGCACTGCGTCCCCTCTTCAGACAGAAGGTGTACTTTCCTAGACCGTCATATCAAGGGACACAGCAAAGAGGGCAAACTAAATTACAAATGGCTAAGGCAATAAACTCAAAATCACAGAAGATATGCAGCATTTAAACTTCCCTATATGTATATACGCATGCCTAAGCTTTGTTGTAAACCTAAGAGTGAGGCAAAGCCATAAAGCAGGAAAAACTGGTGCAAAAATCATTCCCTATGTAATTCAACATTTTAGATGTTTTTAAACTTTAATCATCTGCCTATATTTCCCCCTCAGCTGAGGACAAAACAAAGCAGGTGCTCATGTCCACTGTCTCTGAATTGAATGTCTCCACCCCCCTTCAAAGCGACATAGAACAACTCTATACATTGCCTTCCTGGTTCTCGTGAAGATCCCTTTGAAATTTGCCTCATGCTTGTGTCAAGTCCTATGTCATCAATTACCTTGCAAATCTAAAACCAGCAGCTCTCCCCTAGTGTACTCATAGGTCCAGTGAGAGAAAGCCAACATCAGCTCTTCCAGGGTGTTGCTTGGGGCGATTTCATCTCCATTGTTGTTGTTGTACTTCCGGAACTCCCCCGTCATGTACTTCTCAATGGTCAGCCACTGGTTAGCTGAATGGCAGTAGATTAAGAAAACTTCCAGGAATCTTGAGTGAAACAGAGACCATTGATTCTTCACAAGGCAGCAAATGTGGAACTTGCCTTAAAAAACACTCCATAACAAGGGAGATCACCTAACTCTGACCCTACCTCCCTGGTGAACTGGCCTTTCCTACGAGAAGGAAGAAGTGAACATGTAGGAAGGATGTTTCCTATGCTTTCTCACCCCTCTTCACTTTGAGAAAACTTTGCAACTCTTTAGTGAGTACCAGACCCTACTTTTCTTGCCATGCTCTTTAGTTTCCTGCAGAAGAAACAATAAAGCTTTCCTCTAAGTCCTCAGCACCTAAATATGATCTGCCTTGATAAATGAACATGTCTACAGAAACAGACAGCCAAATGAAAGAAAGAAGAATTTATTCTTACAAAGTTCCCAATTTCTCTAAAATACTAATGGGGTGGCATGCTTAAAATAAAAATATTCTCTCCAAGGTCTGTCTGTTTGGCATAATTGAAATATCCATCATGGTATCTGCCTGAAATTTTTTCAATCACATAAGTTCAATGATTTAGGCAAAAGTATCTCTGGGATATCTAATTTTCTTTTTACCAGTCTCCACAACTATGGAAGGGAGAACTCCAAAATAAAGTCATCATGAATTTTCCCATGTGTCTTACATGTCTCATGACTAACAGACCGAGAAAGATTAACAGGAATTTCTACTTAAAATGAAGGGCCAGAGTGCCAAGATTTCCTTACCTTGGTGTGTAGGGAATGGTTTGTGGTTTCACTTGGTTGAAGGTATAGATTAGTTTTTGAGCAGCTCTTTGTTGCTGAATCTCCTACAAAGAGAAGAACACCGATAAAAATACTGGTTGACTAACACCTAGCAATTAACAATCATGGAGTTACTAAAAGTCTGCCTTAATGTGATTGTTAACTTCATTTGGCTTCCACCATTCCCTACCCCAAAAACGTAGGTCCTACAGAACAAAAATAACAAAAACCACCACCTTCAAATCATACTTGAAGATCATGGTCTTGGATAAAGATGTAGCCAGATCTCCCTCACAGGTTTCCCTTGGACCTGTGCATTAGGGCTCTCTGAGTTCCTGGCTTACCCGGAGGCAAAGATGAAGCACCGTACTCTCCCGGAAGATATCATGCCAAGCCTTCACCACCTCAGGGAGAAAGGACTTCACTATGAAAACCTGTCCTGGCTTGAGAACATCATCCTCAGACCAAGTGCTGATGACCCTCATGGCTTTACGAAGGCCTCCGTCTATCTCCTCGTGGGACAGCACCTGGATCATAGCAGCTCTCCCATGCTGGGACCAGGAGGACATGCTTTTGTCAAGGTTCAGAGGGGAGCTTTCCTCCAGCCTGTAGACAGTCACTTCTTCTCCCACTGCAGAGGAAAGTGAAGGCGTGGAGGTCAGCGAGATCAGCAGGCCTGGGACAGAAAGGCCTAAATATCTACTCCGAATAAATTCAGTTGTCCCCAAGATGACCACATTCACTATAGAGAATTTGGAGCTGTACATTAATTTGATACTTTTTTTTCCTATTCCCCTACCCTCTCTTCAAGCCCTCCTCCCCTCCACATTTACAAAAGCTTTGTTTCCATTTTTTTCCTTCTTTTCTCATTTTTTTTACTTTCCCCCTTCCCCCTTACCTACCTCCCCATTTGAGCATTTTCTTCCTATTTCATAATACCTATTATACATTTTGGTCCTTATTTACACTTTCAGTTTCTCACACCAGAGAAATAGTGTGATTTTTTTTTTATTTTTTATTATTTTAAAGAGTAAAAGAAGGATAACATAGTAATAGGGGGGCTTACCAAATTATAGACAAAGTGGTAGGAAATTATCAATGCTTGTTGTTTTACATATTGCTATCTACAAGATAGTTTCTCAGGAAAACAAACAGACAAATAATAGTGAGCTACAGACAAAAGTGGTAGGTTATTATCAATGGTTGTG